AGAGAGAGAGAGAGAGAGAGAGAGAGAGAGAGAGAGAGAGAGAGAGAGAGAGAGAGAGAGGGAGACACAGGGTATCAGCGAGTGTTGCTGTGCGCCACGGCTACGTCCACTTGTTTTTTTTAAATCCAATACCAAGATAGCATCCCAATCTGCCAATTTAAGGGGTAGTAGTTCCAAGGTCAAAAGGGGTATGCATAGAGGATGACCAGTGAGAGAAACTTCTCCACTGGCAACCTGCACTGAGTTGGTATGACTGCCAGGAGCAGTTGGCCTCAGCACTCACCTTCACGGCAATCTCATGCGTAAAGCATCTCCTCATCGCCACTGAAAGGTTATCAGCATTTTCAACCGCTGCTACAACTATCACCAACGGCCGCCTTCTTAACGGTTCCTCCATCTCCACCCAGAAGTTATCCTCCCCTCCAAGCTCCGAGCGTCTGAAGTCGACAGATGTATAATCGCTGGCACAACAAATAGAGAAACACAAAGGAAGTTCAGTGTTTGCATAACCGAACCGGAAGAAATCAAGGGGGCTGAAGAATGCCACGAGGGAAAGGAAGGGTAGGTGACATTTGTTTCATTCTTTCGTTCTTTTTCATTTTTCGTTTTGCGAGCGGCAACAGACTGCAGGTTGCGGCAGCATACTAAGAAGAGAGTCGGCTGATTCAAAGCCACCGCAGCCGGCACAGCGGAAAAAAGAAGGAACCCCCAACAACCATGAATTTTCTCCCCATTTCTCTTCCGTAACGAGAAGAAGAAGAAGAAAAACGGGTCCTCAGACTCCTTACCTTAGCAAATACTTCCGGCCCGGAGTGTCCCTGCTACCGTCTTCTTGCCGATACGAATCCTCATTCCTGCGCATTACGTTGATCATTCACAGAATAGAAGGCAACCACATTTTCCCCACTTCCCCACATCCCAACGATACACAAGGGCGCCCACCTGCCCGTTCAGCATAGTGCTCTTAGAATTCTACTCTGCTCAGAATTCCACAGATATGGACAAGGATTACACATTGCCATTGATTGCAATCAATTTAGTAAATTAAATATATTGCAGAAATGTGTGCACACTCCATGGGCACAAAGACGAGCCTTGCGTATGCATTCATATACTACTATACTTGCATGCACAATATTTCCATTATGTCCCGCAACATATCACTGGAGTTCATCAACCCTTTTGATTATCCAATTGGCATGAATGTGTCTTATATAGATAAATAAAGGCACATTCATGCCAATTGGATAATCAAAAGGGGGAATTGCTCTCACGCCTCCACAATGTCCACATAGTACTTCATACAACTTTCCCTTAGCGTCCTCAATGCCTCTGTTAGTGTGCCCAAGGTCATCTACGTACCCTGCTACAGACTGTGCCCTTGGGCAACAGCATGTCCAGGTGGCTTTTTAACACCCTCCAGCCGCATACAGTAGTTCCCCATCATATGGCTCTCAGCCACAAGTTAAAGCGCTTTCTGACACAACAGCAATTCAGCACACATGGCCACCTACCTAGGGTATTGGCACTCTGGGCAAATCAAGCCGATCACAGATTTACCAACCAGCCTAGCTCAGTTGGTACCCCCCTGAACTGTTGAAAATTGAAATACAGACCCAAGTTCAAACTCCACCGAAAGCAGATGAGTGAAATACTTGCTACAGTAATTCTGAACTGCCTAGGGCCGGTCAGTTCGATGATGATATCTCATCGTCGCCCTTTTTATTGGGAAAAAAAGGGCGAAGAAGGACGAAGAAAAGAGAGAGAAAACGAAAAAAAAAAAAAGCAGACCAGAGATTCAGAATACGTAAATTAACATAATGCCTTCTTGGCAGTTCTTGCACTTTCACACACTCTGCACTTGGGTTAGTCAAGACTCAAGAGTCCCTTCCTTTCTGAATCCTTCAAAATCTTCACACAGATTAGCTCCCTCCCCTCCCTCCCCTCTCTCCCCTCTTGCGGATAAGATTACTCTATTAATTCCCCCTCTTGGCTGTGGTACTTTGCATTGATAGCGTGGTGTGGAAGTGTGTGGTGCTGCTTCAACCGTGTAGGCATACAGCTCACAGCTACTGGTAAGCCCGCAAACGAGCTGTCGGTGGATGGTGCCTGAAAGGTTGAAGAAGGTATTGCTGTACTTACGGAGGAATGTCGGCGGAGAGAGTTTAAACGCGAGTGTCAGGCCTCTGAGGAGCTGCTGAAATTCCGGCGAAACACTCACAACGCTTGTTTAGTTTTCTGCAGTTCTGTGGAAGGCAGAGGACGGTATGTGTCTTATCTGCTCTTGCGGATAAGATTACTCTTTTAAATTTTAAATTTTAATTGATTACACATGTTATGTCTATTGGGAAAAAAAACAAAAAAGATTAGCTCCCTCCCAGAATTTGTGACATCCAAATGAGCGCCTGAGAAGAAAATTGTGCAAAAGCACAAAACGGATCAAGTTGACGCTTCTCATGACTTGGCTAAGACGACGAATGATGCCACTCATTGAATGATAAGGAGATTTCATTCATCTAATACAAAGCTTTGGTGCCAAAACCTGATGAAGACGACAAATCGCTAGACTTGGCCAAGGCAGGATGGGATCAGAGAGAGAAGAGGGCATAAGCAAGATTCACTTTTTCTTGGTTCGGGTGCTGATTGATGTTAAATGCTGGCAATGAGAAGAGCGAGCCTCACGTCCCAGGTTCACAAAATAGTTTAATTGCAGAGCATATGACCATAATAGAAGATACTGATCGACAAGCAGGGGTCATAGAAAGGGGCTAGGAATTGGGGGAGAGGGGCCTGAGAAGGGAAGAGGGGGGGGGGGGGGGGGGGGGGGGGGGGGGGGGGGGGGGGGGGGGGGGGGGGGCTGCTAGTTATACGACCCTCTTCGTGGCTAAAGAGAATAGTTGCACAAGCAAGAGTGGAGAGAGCCACTGACAAACGTCAAACAGACGGCACATACCTACAGGCAAGACAGGCATACTGGTCCCCGGTTTGTCACAAACTGGAGAAGAACAATGCAAGGTACAATGGTACATTGATAAATGGTGAAAAGAATTGAGGCACTTGAGAAAACAGAGTTAGGCTGGATGGAATACAGTGAGGCCCCTTAACACATACAGCGGTCAGAGATGATCATAAGAAGCACACACACACAAAAAAAAAAAAAAAAAAACACAAACAAGGCCACAATGTGCGGATGACGTTATGGATAATGTTATTGATAATCCTGTGGGTGGACAAAGCTTTTGACACTCACGATCCTAGCTCAGTTGGTACACGCATGGAATGTTGAAATATGAATCAGACCCAAGTTCGAATCCAGATGCAGTCGGATGAACAGAATAAGGATCTGGAGAACACGCTGGATAATGTTCTGGAGAATCATATGGATAATGCTGTGATAATGCTGTGGATAGTTTTAAGGGCAACGACGGGTGCGCGTCTGGAGTTACAGCAAAGCAGAAAAAAGACAAGCACATGCAGAAAGATGGCACTTGTCAAACTAGCCCGAGGGTTCTAGAGTTGAAGGCCTCACCTGTGCATGTTGTAGGGCTGCGAGTAAGTTTCAATAGCTTGTCTTAAAGCCAACGCTATCTGGGAAGATGAAGGAAAAGCAGGGTTGGGAGGGTTCCCTGGGCCATACACCAAATGCATCCATAAAACAGTAAAAACGAAGAAAACGGCATTAGTAACAGTGCAATATGCACTACTATGCAGGCTATTGAGCAGCAAAAAGTCGATGATACTTCGGAAGGGCTATAGAGAGAGAGATATGGGGGGTGCTGAAAAATCAAGATTGAGATAGAGCAAGAGAAAAAGGAAAGAGAGAGGGCAATTGGGAGTGACAGTGAGAGTGTGTGTGAGGGAGTGAGAGATTGGAAGAGTGAGAGTGACAAAATGAGGGATTGAAGGAGTGAGAGAGTGAGAAAGTTGGGAGCGTGAGAGAGTGAGAGAGTCAGAGAGTCAGAGAGAGAGAGTGGGAGACAGCAAGACAGTGACACAGTGACACAGTGACACAGTGACACAGTGAGAGAGTGAGAGAGTGAGAGAGTGAGAGAAAGAAAATGGGAATGAGTGAGTGGGTGTGAGACAATGAAAGAGAGTGGGAGGGTAAGAGAGTGAGAGAGAGAGAGTGAGAGATAGAGAGTGAGAGAGAGAGAGTGAGAGAGTGAGAGAGCGAGAGAGCGAGAGAGTGACCGAGTGAGAGGGCGAGAGTGAAAGTGTGAGATAGAGAGAGCGAGAGAGTGAGAGTGCAACAGTGAGACAGGGAGACAGGGAGACAGGGAGACAGGGAGACAGGGAGAGTAAGAGAGTAAGAGAGAGAGTGAGAGAGAGTGAGAGAGAGTGAGAGAGAGTGAGAGAGTGGCTGAGAGTGGAAGAGTGATGGAGTAAGAGAGAGGGAGTGAGAGAGAGAGACACTAGGAGAGCGAGAGAGTGAGAGAGAGAGAGAGAGTCAGAA